CCCAAGATAGCATTACATTTTTTTCTATCCATTTACTAAAATAAGATTACTATTTTCAGCATAATTGTGGAGAATTTTCGGAGATCAAAACTTCTGGATCTGAACGGAATCGGAGCTCCTTCAATCAAGTAATAATATCAAGGATTTTAGTTTTTATATGTTTTCAATTTTCATGTAACTGAGCTCTAATATTTTAATGAATAGGTAATGAATATACAAAAAGAAGAAATCGCTTAAAGCAAGTGAAACTCTGATCTACATTATTTTCAATTTGAAACTAAGACACAGGGAGTTAAAGATGAAAACAATTGAAAATCCCCTTTGTTTGGATGATGTAGACTCTGGTGATAAATGCATCTCAGAGCTTTATGATCCTTAGGTGGAGGCTTATGAAGATCTTGATGCTAATATAACTCTTGATGACCCTTTTGAAGTCAAAGAAGGTGAAGGATCTCAACATACAAAGAAGAGAAACAAAGAAAAACAAAGGTATAAGATACTTTAAATAAGTTTTTTAATTTTTTTATTTGTACTTTAATTGAAGCATAATCATTTCCTTTAGGTAAAGAAAAAGTTTCAATTGATGTTGATAAGGAGGAAATTCCGCATGCCGAGGAGGAAAGCGAAAAAGAAGCTTTTGAATTTAATTTCATGGATGATTACTTTAAGGATCCTATCAGTAGCACTAGTGCTAATGACAACTATGTGGATTGATGGGTAATGACTTATCAAATTAGATCATGATTATTTTGAATCTGTTAAAGTTTGGAACTACTATTTTCTTTTATGATATTGGGATTATATGAAAACTATGGAGTCATAAACTTTTATAATTATTTTCAGTTATAAGCTTTTAGTGATATTAAAATTAGAATGATTCTATTTAAATTGCTCCTATAATATTGTGCCTAATAATAGTGTTAAATATAGAATGATTTTTCTTCAATGTTATTTTTATGGTTTTAAAACTTTTTTTAAAAAAAAGAGTTTTTTTTCAAACAAATTGAGGCTTATGCCTCACATATAAGGAAACTGCCTCAATACGCCGAACGATATTTTAAAACTTGGTAGCAAGTTTTAAAAAATTTATCCAGCCAGTGATTTTTATTTATAGATTTATTAGAAAACTCGTTTTAAATAGAAATTTTTATATAAATATTATTTCTTAAAAAAAGTTTTTGTCGTTTAAAATTCCTCAGATGTTTAATGACTGAATCAACTGTTAACACATTTTTTTAAACGATTTTTCAAAGAAGAGAGTTATTAGGCCGTAAAAAAAAACGTAGTTGATCTACCCGGCTAGCAAATAGCTAGCTCTATAATCGTAACGATAAAGACAGCGATTTGGCCACGAGGATCGCTAGCTTTTTTAAGTTAGCGAAAAGCTAATCGAAAAGCTATCGATATTTGTAAAGATAAAAACAGACATTTGGTTAAGAGGACAGCCAGCTTAATAAGCTAAAGATTCACTGGCTATTGTAGCTAGCGTCATATCGTAATAAAGTCGTTGTCTAGAAAAATTTGATATGTAGCTATCAATCAGCTATAGATTTGTAGATAAATTGTAGCTAGATACAAAGCTATGATATGTATTGCTACAAAATCGCAATGTTTAAAGTTCAATTATCCTCATAATTATAATAGACTCAACACTAAAAATCGAATTTTTAAAGATGTTAAAGACATTAGGAAATAATAAAATAGGAAAAAAAATCGCTATAAAGCTAGCAAGTCGCTAGCTCATTTCCCACGGGGTAGTTTATAAATTTAAAATTTTGTAGTTCATCAAAAGAAATAATAATTATAATAAAGAAAAAATAACAACAAAAAAAGGTTTTTAACGTGACAAAATTTTGTTACGCTGCTGGGCAGTATGATCATTTATGTGCAGTATATAGATACATGCAAATTGTTTTGTTTGTTTTTATGAGAGTAATAATTTATATATATTAATATATATATATATATATATATATATATATATATATATATATATATATATATATATATATATATATATATATATATATATATAATAATTAATTAGTTTAAAGAAAGTATACCTCCTTTTCAAGAAGCCTTGAAAAAATCAGGGTACAAATGCGAACTTACATACCATCCAAGTATAAAATCAACAAACGGCAATCATAAAGGCAAGATAATTTGGTATAATCCTTCTTTCAGTGCAAATGTTGTAACAAAAATAGGAAAATGTTTTTTGTACCTCATCGATCTCCACTTTCCAGTTAACCACGACTTCGTAAAATATTTAATAGAAACACAATCAAAATTAGTTATTCCTGCATGCCAAACATTAAATCCATTATCAACTCTCACAATAAAAGCATTTTACATAAGGAGGCAAAAATTAATGAAAACAAATACAACTGCATTGACAAATCCAAAAGTCAAATGAACAACAATTGCCTTTCCAACAACATTGTTTATCAGGCCACCGTCTATTCAAACAATCCGGAATATAAAGAAAAAGTGTATTTTGGACTCAGTGAAACATCTTTTAAAGTTCGGTTTGCAAACCACTTAAAATCTTTTAATGCGATTAGATATAAAAATGATACAGAGTTATCAAAAGAAATATAGAAATTAAAAGAAAAAAACTTTACACCTTTTGTTAAACGGAAGATTTTTAAGCAATGCAAACCATACAACCCAGCATCAAGAGTTTGCAACCTATGTTTTAACGAGAAGTTTCAAATTTTGATGTCTAAAGGAGACAACCTACTTAATACAAGGAGTGAAATAATCTCGAAGTGTAGGCACAAAAATAAGTTCTTTATTTCCTCATTTGACACCGAAGACTGATCCTGGTTGTTTCACGTCACGTTTACGTGACGTTATACTTTTAAAATTTTGTTTCCATGGAGTAACTAGAACTCACGCCACTGTAATTCTAATTGTCATTTTACCGTTTTTATTTTTATTTTTGTAATATATGGCTGATGATTGCCGTTAGGCATGAAACTTATAGTTCCATAACAAAAGTTTTTTATTTTTCGTTTTTAATTATAAACCGCTCTATTTTGAAATTTATATACAAAATCAAAATATAAACTTCCTAAATATTGAGCACTTTTCAACGAACAAGAGTTTTGTATTATTTTAATACAACACTTCATCAAACGATATATATATATATATATATATATATATATATATATATATATATATATATATATATATATATATATAAGTGTTAAGTTCTAAAAAGACTTTTAATACTCCTGGGTACAATAATAATACAGATAACTCTTTTGACTGTGATTTTAAATATAATTCTAACTCTTCAGTACCTGAACTTGTATCTATGTTGCTTTCTAGTGTTAAGATTCCATTTTTAAATGTGAAAAAGATTTCATTTCACAAGCTGCAGAACTAGGCCTATGATCGACATTTCCAAACAAAGATTTCAACAAGGCTTCCGCTGTAAAACGTTATAGCGTTAAATCGAATTTGAACTGAAGATTTTACTGTGTTGACAAGTGGGCCACAAAAGCTTATATTTTTTTGTTGCAAAGTAGTTAGTTTTTTATCTAAAGCGTAAAGCGTAGGTAATAAATACCCCATAAACATTGGTTCTTCTCCTTGTAAAAAGTCTAAAGATTAAGCCAGAGGAGTCATTACTTCACATTATTCTTGAATTATTTGAATTTCTTGATTTGTGAATCTTTGTATTTCACAGAAATCCATTATATTGCTCATTTTGTTATGTCCATTAGAGTCTGGAAAAAATACATTTAATTTGTAATAAGCTATCATAGGTACAGTTCCATCTTGTTTTATTAGGTGTTTTTAAATAAACATCTAGCGTATTGTGAATTTTTTTCTGCAACTCTATTTGACATATTTTGTGTACTCCATAATGTTGAACACTTGCCCATTGCTTTCCTATAAAGTTTTTTGTGTGTTGTGCTCACTGTTGTTGTCACTCAAATGTTGTGCTCACTGAACAAGTAAGTCACTCTCTTCTTTTTCATGAATGTTTATGTCCAAAATATCACACAAACTCATATTTTCACCGTATAAATCATCATCATCATCTTCATTACTATCCTCCTGATTCTCTGAATTTTCGGAAACAGTTTATGATTTAAAAGCTTTTACAAAATTTGAGCCACTGTCTGTTGTTGTAGCAACTATCTTGTTTTGTATTTTATAGGTTGTATGAATCTTATACAAAGCAGAAACCAAACCAATATATGTATGTTTTCTTTTTATTCGGCTACATGCTAAAAATACTGAATTACGCTGAAAAGTCTTTTGATCTATCCGATGGCAAGTAACCCCAATAAAACTTCTTTTACCTTTGTTGCAACAGTCAGCTGTGGTTGCAACATACATTATATCTCCAAGTGGCGAAGTAATATTTTCAACCATTGATGAATATAGACTATTAATACGTAATTTTAAAGTTTTACTGCAAATAATTTTCAGGTTTTTAAAAAGGCCTAACTTTACCAAATTTACAAACGATAGTTTATCAACATAGATAAAGGTTGTGTTTCACTAGCAACAAAATTTACAACAAGTTGATCTAAACTTTTTTGATTTATTTTCAAACTTTCATATCCTTTATTGGTTCCATATTTGATTGAAGAGTTGATTGCACCGCATTCTTCTTCATATTCTCCAATGACCCCAATTTTTTGTTTTTAACCAAAGAATTTTTTTTACTTTCTTTTATAGCTTTTTCAAAAGCAACTATTTTAAATGGATGAACTCTCTAAAAATGAAACAAATATTTATTTTTTAAAGTAACTCAGCGGCAAAGTTTGCCAAACGTACTGTTTCTAAAATTATAGCCAAATACATGTATTTTAAAGTTCAAAAAAACATAACGCATTGTATACAAAGCGTTACGTTTTTTGAATTGTAAAATCAACTATAACGAAAGGCTATTGGTTTAAAATTTGAGGAACAATTAAAAAATTTTCGTGAACGAAAAATAATAATCTCTTTCCTCGTTCCGTTGTTTTAAAAGGAACCAGTTCTTTACTCCGTTCCTCAATAAAGGAACTCGTTTCAGGAATCCGTTCCTTTTGGAACGCGTTCTTCCAAACACTGTTCACATTTAATCCCTTTTTCTTGCACAATCAAGCAATTTGCAACAATTAAAAAACCTCGTTCGTAGTGTACTAAAAGTAAAGCATAATATTCAAAAAAGGAATGTAAAGCATCACATTCTTTTTTCAGAAATTGTTGTTAAGCCTATTGATAAAGGAAGTTGGTTGGTTCTGATGATGCGGATTACTATAGAGATAAACTTGTATATTGAGTACATTTATTAACGGAAATATATAATAAAACTTTTAGATATGATTCTAATAGTTTAACATCTGTGAGATCTTTTAAATCATAACCTTATTGCTCAGGTTTATGAAAAGCTATTTATAAAAATTCAACGCTAAAAAAATAATGTAAGATTAAAGGTAATTCCTGTTTTATTTAAAAGGTACGTTAATGATTAGTTCAAGTCTTTAAAGTTAAAATTAGTTAAAAAAGAATTAAAATTGTTCTGTTTTTATCTTCTGTTCTATATCTAAAAGCTATTGAAATATTTATTGCATTATTATTCATTTATTTTATATGTTACGAAAGACCTACTAAGCCTGAAGTTTTACAGGTCGAAATATATATGTCAGCAAAAAAGTAAACAACTGTATAATATATAGAATAGAATACAAATACATGAATATTATATATGTATTTGAAAAATAGTATATATGTATTAGTAAACTAAATGACTAAACTTATTTAAAACACTTTTAACATGTTTAGTTACAAGTTAGTGTTATGTTTTGATGTATCTCAACCAAATAAGTGTTAAAATTTCAGCAAAATGTCATATCGCCAGGCTGTTTGGTTGGAAGAAACAAAAGTTTGATATTTTCTTGAGTTGTTATTTTATTTTGTGATATTATAATTTACATTCACAAAATAGTAAATAATTTACTTGTTAAATTTATTTTTCATTGCTTTGGATGTTTTGTTATTCTTTTTACAGATTGTTATGAGGATTGCAAAAATTTTTAATAACTGAAACTGAAGAAGACATTGATAATTAGCAGATAACAAAAAAGCGCAAAAGTACTGATTATACAACTCTAGTTTGTCAATATTTATATAGAAACTAATAATATATAAACTTAAAATGATAACATATACTAAATATATAAACTGCTAAAAAATATGCAAAAATATATAAACTTATTATTAATCTATAATTTTGCATTATTCTAATCTAAATTAAATTTTTTCATAATTTCATCGGAGTTAATATTACTAGTAATATTACTATAATTACAGTAGAAATGATTAATTATGGAAAAATTGCACAAAAAATAATGTTGTGTATATATATTTATATTATGTAATATATTATAAATTTAAAAGTAATAGTCTTATTTAGTTTGCTCTAATTTTTAAGTATAAAAAAAAGAAGAAAGTTTTAATAAGTAAATGATAAACCATTTTTACGGTATAGTAAAATAGTTTTTATTTTTCAGTTGAGGAAGAATTTTATGTTAATATTAATGCAAAAGGTTCGAATATTGACAGGTTAGCTAATTTGATGTTACAATAAACATAATATTAAGTATGTGAAGATATAGCATACATCCATGATGCATACAAGTATAAAAAAAAATTACAAATACTCAATTATACAAAAAGATTATGGATGTGGTACCACAAGTATATATAATTGATTATGCAAGTAAGTTGTCGTACTTTAAATATTTGAAGACTAATAATAATTGTAATAAACATATCTCTGTAATTAACAGTATACACTTGGATTTACATTTTAGTTAAATCATCACCACTTCAACAGCCATCTTGTCTCAAGCATTCAATTGCATTCTAAGATATCTTTATTTAAATCAAGTGTGACTACTATACCAAAATAATGTAGAATGGTCCAATTATGTAAGATGTCTAAATTTATATCTTTTATATAGAACTCCTTTACTTTAGGTAACTCCGGTTAATTTTATGACTTATGAACATATTTAGCAATATAATCCTTTTACGATAGACTTTAAAATCAAATTTACAATGCTTTAGTAAATTTTCATTTAAAATAACTTTGCATACATAATATATCTATATGGTTATTTACATTGTATCTAACCCATCAGTACTTGCAAAGTCTCCTTTTCTGTTAGCCTGAAAATTGAGTTCTAAAATACTATTATTCACTGTATCAAATACTATATCAAAAGACAATCTAATGGATTGATCAAGTAATACTTAATTTTTAGTATTAGTTGCATGTTAGTACATATATGATTTTTATATAAAAAGTTTAGTTATTATGATTGATTAGTTTTTAACTTTAAGAATTTTAAGATTTACAATTTTATTTTTGCATGTTTATTTATATTGTAGTAACACTGTCGGTATTTCCACAACTTTTCAATTGAATAAGAAAGTTTCAATCAAACAGGGTACTGAGTGTGCATACTGCTCCTCAAGACAATGGATAATGGGAGTTATTAAACTATATTTATTTATATACTTTATTACTTGTATTGTATATATTCATCCAGGTCTTCCATTATATATATATATATATATATATATATATATATATATATATATATATATATATATATATATATATATATATATATATATATATATATATATATATATATATATATATATATGAATATATATATATACATATATATATATATATATATATATATATATATATATATATATATATATATATATATATATATATATATATATATATATATATCAGTGCCAGATCAAGGGGGAAGGGCTAGGGGGACTATAGCCCCGGACCCCGCAAATTTAGGGGCCCCCAAAAATTTTAGAGGTTTTTTTTTTTTATTGTTATTTTTAGGCTCTGGCCCATAAAAAGGCCTCCAAAAACATAAATAGCTTTGGGCCCCAAGAAGTCTTAATCCGCCACATATATATATATATATATATATATATATATATGAATGACTTATATGAATAGAATGAAGATGTTTATTGAGTTATTTTTATTATTTTTAGAACTTGTATTGAAAGAAGATTGTACATCTTCGGTACCCGCAATACGGTATTGTGCATTGGTTCCCATCTTAAAATGGCTCTCTTCCGTATAGGTGAAAATAGAAAAGGTTATGTCCTTTTTTCTAACTCTTAAGACGAAGAGGCTTAATCGGTTCAAGCAAAGATGAATATGATCATTATGGAGCCGATCATGATAGCGAATACGATAATGCATATAATAATAAATAAAATGATTTTACTTGTATTTCAGAATTATATAAATAAAAAATTATCTGTTTAACGTTTGATTTGTTTATGAGTATTTAGATAATGCGTTCAGCGTTTATATTTTTTTATGGTGCTTATTTAAAGCAGCTTAAATAAAAGAAAAGTTTGGTTCGTTAATCAGAATTTTTTTTATTTATGCTTCCTTAAATAAGCACCGTAAAATAAAGTTAAACGTCGCGACGTTTAAAACGAAAGATTTAGATGGAGTTTAAATAGCGTTTAAAACGAACCATTTAGACATGGTTTAAATGGGACATTCCATTAACCTACGTTCTAAATCAAAACTAATTTAAATCTAAACATTTAGAACGAACATCAACTAAACGTTGATTAAATGTTCGAATGCCCGCTCGGTTAGAGAAGGGAGAGCAAAAAAACTTAAAATAGAAAATTAGGATGAGTAAAAAAACCTTTTAATGAGTAAAGTTTATCCTTAATAGAAAAAAAGTCTGAGCTGAGGGAATCAAAAGAGTTTTATTTATTTGATTTTGCTGTAAATTGTAAGTAATTGTAGTAAGCTATCATTAACACTTTTTTTAAAAAAAAAGTGTTAATGATAGCTTACTACAATTTTTTTGTTTTTTCATTTTTTATAACTGGCAGTAATTTTGTTTAATTTATATTTTCATGGATAGTATTTTTTAAACCATTTTATTTATATGTTAAAAAAATGAAGTTTAAAATTATTAGCACTCATGCGGCACTCCCTATTAGCACTCATGCGGTAGGGAGCCCGTCTCTCCACTACTGGCAGTAGTGTTCTTATTATGAAATATTATTATTATGAAAAACCAATAATCTTTTGGTTAGTAAATATAATTTAGTTAAATAAAATATATTTAAATGCCAAACTTAAGAATGTTCTTGTTTATATCACATTAGAATGTTTAGGAAAACGTTGAAACAACCACCTTTTTTGGGTGTCATCTTTATATAATCATAACATTTGAATTTTGAATTTTAAAACCTGTCGACATAAATTTAGTGTAAGAAAATAAAAAACAAAAGTTACTAATTTGTTGCCCTGGCATTTAGGGTAGAGATGGTAAATATTTTAGGGTATTTTTTTTTTCTAGTCTCCAATCACTGGATGCGTAGATTAAGATTATTTCTTAATCTACGAATAAATCATTGCTTAGCTACAGCTTGGGTTATTCGTATATTATAAAGTGGCGTAGCAAAGTATTTTTGGTTAGTAGACATACGTGGCCAAGGTGACCAATTTCTGTTCCTCTGGAACAATAACTTTTCTAAAAAAAAAAACTCTTTAAATACATCTTAGGGCTCCTAAACCTTGCGGCTCTAGATTCAGTTGCTTGTAAGACCGTAAGTTTTGCTTATAACGGCCTTACGGTATCTAGGCCACTGATACTACACGCAGATAAGGGCATTTACGTAAAAAGTATTAAATTTTTCATGCCCATATAAAAGTACCGTACTTTTTTAAACCAAGACTTTTAGAGTCAAAGGATATTTATGAGCAGGAGGACATTTTTCGTATCAAAGTGGCAAAAAATCTTTACAAAATAAAGCATCTTCTTAAAAAGTTCGGGGTTCCTTAATCTTCAAGGCATGGTGTTATAGCCCCATAATTCAGGACAGGTTTAAACTTTCTCTCCTTAGTTTTTAAATAATAAATACGCAAAAAACTTGTTAAAAAGAACTAACTATTATGCCAGTAATTTTCCTTTCAAACAAACTGCTCTTTCTGAGTCTCCCATAGGTGTATGCACTTTCTGATGACTGCCTTGTTTAAGAACAAGTTCAGCTTTGTCTAAATTTCAGACCTTTCGAATGGTTATCAAGAGATTGAACTTTTTTGAGATGGTTTGATTCAGAGAATGGTTATCATAGCTAAACTATCAAGGACCGGAACTAGAGAGGGTTTTAATCATGGGCGGAAACCTATTATTGATATTTTCAAACTTTACAGGGAAGAAATACCTAAAAACGCAAAATGTTGCGGCAAACTAAATGTTACTGCCTTAAAGTTTTACTTTTTTGCATTACTTTTGTACGAGATCCTGTCAAAGTTGTTGTAAAATATAAGTAAATTTATTTACTTACTTTATATAAACTAGTTTTAATTTACATTACAAATTATATAAAATGTAAGCTTATGTAATTTAAATTTTATTTTATATTACTTATTTTTAATAAAGATTTGTTATTACTTTTAATATAAAAAATTCCACTTAAAAAATTAATTTTTTTTTGTAAATTTAATTTACATTTGTTAGCATATTACTTTTATGTAATTTACTTTTATATGTAAGTTACTTTTTAATATAATTTTTTTTTAATTAGTTATTCATAAAGGTAAATGTAAATAACAGTTTTAGGAACTTTTATATTATGTAATATAATTTTCAAAAGTAATTAACTTTTAAATGTAAAAGTAAACTGCTTTTTCACGTGACTTACTTTTACACGTAAAAGTAAGTTACTTTTTGATGTAATCTTCTTTTACATAACTTACTTTTGAAAGTAAAAAAAATTAAATTATAAAATAAAAGTCGTTTCAAAAAAATTAATTATTTGTACGGAAATGTAAATTTACATAAAACGTTTAAAATTACTTAGCAATTTACTTTTTGATAAAAATTAACTCGTATAAGTAAAAAAAAAAAGGAAGTAAAAGAGCCATCCCATAGTTATCAATAAGTAACAAAATATATTTTTCTATACAGTTTTATTTGCTTGACCAAATTTGAATAATTTTGCATTTATTTTCTGAAATCAATTAAGCGATGTTATGCAAAAGCAACAGACAAAAAAACTAACTAATCAATGGTTATTAAGCCTCCTGCTTGAAGTATGTACCTTATCGTTTAAATTATTATTGGACTAACAAACTTTTTTTGCTTAAGACCATGTAATGTTTTGTCAATCACCAAAGTACCACATAACGTTTGTGTTTGTACTATTTATGAAAATATGCGTTTTAAATTAATACCTTTAAAAAAGTCACATCCTATATTTGATTATTTGTTGACAGACAATGGCATGTACTTAAACTTCACATGTGAAAATTCGCTTATTGAGTGTTTCATGAACCATGACGAATATTGTATGAACACACTTAACAGTCAAATATTGGAGTATGAAATTTAGAGTTTAAATAATCAAGTAATTTGGCAAAAATGGTTTAAAACTGAATTAAAAAAGAATCGTCCTAACGTTTATTGCAAAATCGAGATTATTTAAGTCTCTAAGTCTGGGCCGATAAGCTTCTTATTATATGAATTATACGAACTAACTCCTGATTTTTTGAATTGCGCATTTGTAAAAATTAATCAAGCTAAACTATGTCGTCAAATGATTGGTATATGTATACAACAAATTCTAACCAAGCTGTCGTAGGAGTTGATTTTGCAGAAAACTTTAAATGCATCACTCAAAACGAACCACAAAGCGCTCATAACGACCAGACTCCAATTTCAATTTGTATATCATCAGATGTCATTTGCAGTCATTTGCAATTGCATCAGACCATCAAAAACATTCAAAAGAAACTGTGATTCCGTTTATTGATGTCATTATGGAGTAGCTGCCAGAAATAGTCCAACAAGTTACATTTAGAGTGATAATTCAACATTTCAGTTCAAAAAATAAGTATATAATGGAGTCTTTAAAAAAGTAACAAAAACGACACAAGATGAAAATTAAATGGGCTTTTTTTGCATCCATGCACGGCAAATCCGTTGTTGACGGAATTGGAGGGTTTGTTTAAAAATTTGTAAAATCCAGAATTTTGGCTCAAAATATCGAAGTAACAACAGCATCTCAATTTGCAAAGGCAGCAGAAAATATGAATGTTAAGTCTATTTTGATTGATCTTGATGAAATTAAAAAACGAAATGAAGAGATTGGATAATCAAAATTAATTTCTTCAACAAAATCGTTACCAGGAATAAAAAAAAACATTATTTCGAAGTTCAAACTATTATCAAATAAAAGAAAGTTATTGAGGAAATAATTGGAAAAAAAATTGCACCTAGTTTGATTTAAAATATCTATTTGCTTACTAACAAGCTAAAGTTTATATTATAAAACTGTGATTAGAGTGGAAAGAGAATAAGAAAACAAAATTGGTTTTTTCATTTTTAGGTTGTTTGGTGTAATTATTTCTGGTCAATGTGACAGCGTTTTACGACCTTTACTCTCGAAGTATTTATAAAGGAGTCACACAAATATTTACCAAATTTTAAAATTAAAGTTAAAGCAACCGAATAGTTATTTTTTGTTATTAGAATTTTTATTTATAATTAAAATTCAAAAAATCTTTGACGTTTAAGCGTCTTTTCAATTTGTCGCACATAGGCTACACCCCAAGGATTACTGGAATTATATAATATCTTTAATATATCAATTTTATATTAATAATATAAAATAAAATAATATCAATCAATAATAAATGTTACTAAAAAATAAAACTTGACTAAATTAGCATGTTTTTAAATAACTATGATTCTCTAAGTTAGAGCTTTCCGTCAGTAACGTAATGTCAGTAATTAATGAACTTCAGAATAATTTATTCTGCAAATGGAATTAATACATCTACATAGCTTATATGTTCAACAAATCATCTAGAAAAATGAGTCTTTAATTCAAAGTAATTTTTCAGTTCTTTATCTTTCAGAGAAAATTGAAGTCAAATATTATTATTAGAAAAACTAGCTGGTCAGACCCGTAAAATAAGGGTTTTGGTAATTCTGTTCCACACTGTAATAACAGTCCGTTAAAAAAAGTAACGGACTGCGCTTTTTCGTTAAATTAACGGATTAATTCGTTACCAAAAACCAGAAAATTAACGGAGTAAAATTAACTATTTACGGATTCTTTGAAATTTCGTTAATTCAACGGATTAAATATTCTTATCGGTCAAAAAAAAATTTTCAGTATATTATAGCTTTTTATTTTGAAAATGATAAAGTTTTGAATGCGTTTTTCTCACATTTATATTAACATTGTAGATAAAAGTTGGTTGCAGTAAGTGTAATATGCCATTTTTTAAAATGCTTTACATTTAGTAGACAAAGCAAATGGATAAATATAATTTAAATTACACTCTGTTATTTGTAATTTCGAAGGTTATTTAGATTATTTTAAATTTTCTATATAAAGCTTTATATAGAAAATTTAACAATAAGGTTTATTTTGTTTTAAATTAAAAGCCATTAGTATTACTAAATAATGAATAATAACATATATGGTAAGTTAATACATATCATATATGGTAAGTTACTACATGTCTAAATCTAGAAAATTATGCAAGAATATATGCAATCCATATAGTCTATATTATAGACATAAAAGTTCAACTAATCCTTTACTAGTAGTAAAGGGTTAGTTGAACAATTATTTCTATAATATAGACTAAATGGATTGTTTATAGTCTTTTTTAACTTTATATTTTAGACATATGATATGTAGTAACATACCATATTAGTTTAAATCAGTTGTAAAATTAAAAATGTTAACATCTTTGATAGGTATATTTATTTAGGTTAGTTACAGCTAAGTTTACATGGCTAGTTAATTTTTATAAATTGCAATTTTTATTAATTTCCAAATTAAACATGTATGGCATCCAATATCATAAACTAAGTTTATACTGGTGCGTTTATATTATTTTAGAATTTTTTGTTTTAGACACATAGCATTTGCTATCCCACTGTAAGTTAAAACTAGTTGTAAAATTAAAAAATTTATATTGGAACTTCTATTTCTTTTAACATTCATGTTTATTTAATTGAGTTACAACTAAGGTTATAAATGAGTTATTTATACTATCTTAGAGTTTGCTGCTTTAGAGGCATGACATTTAGTGTCACATTGTAGGTTTAAATTGGTTGTAGAATTTATATTGTGACTTGCATATTTATTTAGTTGAGTTTAATCTAAGTTTATGTTTGATGTGTTTGTATTATTTTAGAATTTACTGTCTTAGACACGTGGCATGTGGTATCCCACTGTAAGTTTGAATTAGTAAATTTAAAAAAAATTATATTTTAACTTGCATTTCTTTTGACGTTCATGTTTATATAATTAGATTACAACTAAGTTTGTGTATGGCATGTTTATATTATTTCAGAATTCACTATTTTAGACACTTGGTATAAGCTGTCATACTGTAAGTTTAAATTGGTTGTAAAATTCATATTGTAACTTGCATTTCTATTTAGTTGAGTTTCAACTATTAATAATAATAATAATAAGTTTATATCTGCCGTGTTTATATTATTTTAGAATTTGCTGTTTTAGACACGTGGCTTGTGATATTCCACTGTAAGATTGAATTAGTAAATTTAAAAAAATTGCGTTTTAACTTGCATTTCTTTTGGCATGCATATTTATTTAGTTTAGTTAAGACTAAGTTTATATCACACTTTTTTAACTATTATTCTCCTATATTCTATATTCACTATTATTTTAGAATTAGCTATTTTAAACATGTGACAAGTGGTATGACACTGTAAGTTTAAATAAGTTGTAAAATTAATTTTTTTATATAGTTGCTTGCATTTTTTTTGGTCTGCATATTTAATCTTGTTTTGATTTATCATAGTTTTTAAAAGGTTAGAGACCTTATTTTTTGCTCCTGATAGGTATTGATGTATGTGAAATGTATAGAGTCTTTCAGTTATCAGATAATGTCAAGGTAATCTTATATATTTTTTTTAATTTACATTTTAATAAAGATATAATTTACTTGTTCCATTTAACTTTATCTTTAGAAAACGATATCAGAGATAATTAAAATAACAAAATTTAGAATTGAAATTTATATATAATGAATTAGCAAAAACATTTTCTATAGTGTTATCAGTAACATTTTATTTTGGTTTTATACTAGGTATGTTATTAAGTTTCCATATTTTTCTTATTTTATTTTATATTAATCTTTAAGGAGTTGACAGCATGGTGTCCGATTTAACGAATAACAACAGTATTCAAAACCAAAACCTATTTAAACCAACCAAACCAAAACTAGCAACCAAAAACTAATATCTTGGTATTGGTTTATTTTAAACATCTATTATATATATGTGTGTGTTTTATATAAATGTACTAGCTTAAGTATAGTGTATTTATTTTTTATTTTTTTTAAACTATTTTTATTGTAATTTAAAGTATATTGGATTAAATATTATAAATATTTGATTAGTTTTCAATTTTTGGTTAAAACGTTTTAATGTAGAATATCGAAATAAAATAATGCAATTAAATAAAAATTCAAACATTAACAAATATAAGGATTATTTGGTTATGAAGTCACAATTCTGGCCTCTCTAATTATAGATTTTAGTAATTTTAACGAAATAATCACTAAAATAACTTATTAACACATTTATTTCATAGGAATAACAACCGCGGAAAATTTGCTGCTTAGTGTAATAACTCCTTAATTTTAACAGATTATTCGTTGCACTAACGAAATGAATCCGTAAATTCAACGGACTATTCCTAACGGAGTTCAATTCGTTAAAATTTAAATTCGTTAACTTGACGGATTTCCCGTTAGTGCAATAGCGACAGATACAATTCGTTGTATATAACGGATTTTTTCTTAGAGTGCATATATTTTATTATATACAATTACTTTATATTTAAACATAATAATAAAATTAAATATACGTAGAAAAGTAAATCAGCATCATTAGTTTTCAATTGGTAGATTAACCAACAACAAAAATACTAATTAAAGATGTGGTGTATTAGTTTCTCACTGCTCCCTCTCCTCATATTTTACTCTTTACAGGATCCACAGTTAAAAAAAAAAGGGTACGGAACGCTCTAAATTTGAGCTCACACCTTATGTGCCATATTTGAGTCCTCTATTTGTTCTGTAATTATCTGAAAAAGCATTATAGGATATCTAAAAAAAAACATATATATTAAAAAAAGTAAAAACATACTACAGTCCAATTTGCTTATTGTTGATATTTTTTCAAGAGTATTTTTCAAATCAATCATAATCTTGAAGAAAAGACATTTATTGCAAAGACAATTAACTATTTCACAAAAGAACAAAAACACAAACTTATCAGTGTAAACAATTTTTGTAATTTGATCAGAAAATAAAATAATTATTACCTTGATTGCGACAAACTAATTTCTTTTTAAACTATAAGCTAATGATCAACAGTAAATTTTAAATAATTAAAGTTTACTAAGTTAAAACCATATTTTTACAGCAGAGAAAGTAAACTCATGATAGCTGGTAGAGCACCAAAACAGAACTAAAGAAATAAAAAAACAACTAAATTTAAAATGTTTGTAATACATATTATTTGCATGAAAAAAACTCTACAATTACGAGATAATAAAAGTAAAATAATCATTAGAAACAAAAATATAAATATATATATATTATATATATATATATATATATATATATATATATATATATATATATATATATATATATATATATATATATATATATATATATATATATATATAAAGGATATAATACAATGTTCATTTTTGGAAAAAATACTATCCCTTTAATTTAAAACATTACTGTTTCATGAACCAGATAAGGATATATAAATAAAGAACATACACAGTGAAAAATTGATTTTTAAGTCCCATTCTTTCAAAATTTTTGTAAATACTTATTAGATACCCCCTAATTCAATGATTATTATGAAAATAATTAACTGTATACAAAAAATCTTAACTGATAAAATGTTATTTTGACATGGAGAATCATAATCACTGTCACAGCAGCTAATCACCTGAGTATGCAAAATATTAAAATTTTATTATTTTACATGTTCTGCTGACTAAAATTTTGATGGTATTTAGTGTAGAAACAAAATGTTTTTCACCAAAATTTTTTTATAAACATAGGTTCATATATATATATATATATATATATATATATATATATATATATATATATATATATATATATATATATATATATATATATATATATATATATATATATATATATATATATATATGTATATTTTTATTGATTTTTCTCCTCCCACTTAACTTTTGGTAAAGGTAATCTCTTACCCTTTGATGAAATGAGGGGAAATCTTTTCCCCTATTCTGGACCCACACCTTTAGTACACTGAAAGATGAGGGTTCTTCTTATTATCTTAATAACATACAAATGCTTCATAAGATAAACGTAAAAATAACAAAAAAAAAAACAATTGAAATAGCTGAATGATATTTTAGTTTCATACTTAACTATAAAACCTACAAATCATTTATTTACCATTTACAGATAAGGGTGTTGCAGCAGCTACTCTTGCTGGGATTGCTTAAGCTTGATTGGCTATAACAAAAACACACAAGTAATTGAAAATTAAAAATAAATCAAAGCAATTAAAATATTAGTATAGTATTATAAATATATAGTTATGTATTTTCCCCTGGTCACTTTAACTCCTCCCACTTCACTTTCGGTAAAGGTAAAAAACATGAAAGGTGGAAAAGAACATGAACTTTTGGAGTCACTGTGACCAGCAGAGCCATGTAGCATTTTTGAAATGCATTGATGTGAACCTCAAAATCTAGAGATAGATTGTTTCCAAAGCAAGAACGAACAATACTTCAAAATTGTTTGAAAGCTTTGACCAAATTTATGATAGGAGCAACTTGATGTTTGGTCACAAGCTCACTCAAAAGATCTATATTGTTGGGATGCTTTATGCAGTCATTTCCAGCAATCTCTCCACTGTGGTAGGGTTGAGCTTTGTAAATGCAGCTTTGAAGGCCATTCACTGGCTCCTTCCCAAATTCTCTGAGGAAAGATGATTTACCACCCCAAGAAAAAGGTGGAGTTCTATTGAGGAATAAGTTCCGAGACAGCTTTGAAAGCATCCTTTACTTAGATAAGAGGCTCATGAATTGCATTCAAGTACTTCTTTGCCTGAAATTTGCCTTCTTTTGAATGTGAATTATAGAGCTAGAATTGATTCAATTATTCTTGGTTTTCATTTTGACTGCAAGTTGTCTGAGTTGACGTCACACCAGCAGCAGGGGTGTGAACTGGAGTGAGACTGGATTTCACGTAAAATATTTGCAACTTTCATAACACACAATGATGAATGGTGTGCTGAAAATCCCTAAAAGAGCAAACATTGATTTAAGGTTCTCATAGTTTTTTGGAAAGTTTTTGGTTATGGCCACAATTACTTGCTGCTTGACACCAGAATCCAGAGATGTGGAACCAGTGAGGGTTGTTGTCTTTTGATATGCATTTTGTGTTTGATTTCCTGGTGCTCAATTTAAAATTTCTTTGTTGCTCAAGCTAAACTTCAAAATTTTTCCATAACCAACATTCCTAATTTTGGTGATGCTGCTTGATTTGGAAATTCCTCTTTCTTCAGACACCAAAGCAACAAACTCAGACAGACTAATGCAATGCACGACCTTGGTTGTGGAGATATCTTTTTTTGAAGTATCATAAATAATTGATGTGGTGAAAGACTCAAACTCCATCCTGAAATTTGACTCCATCAATCTTGCTTCAAATAACTTGTTGAGTTGGCATGAATTCTCAACAAGTCATTTTTAGCAAAGTTGTCTTCTGATTTTGTTGTTGGAAAGACCAGTGTTGATTTGAACCTTGACCATGTCAGTTGTTAAGAGCATGGGCTTCTTTTCTGAGTTTTGGCAGGAAGGTCCAGGAGTGAGGAGCATTAGTCTTCCGTCCTGTGCTCTGATTAGTCTTTCAGTTCCTTTAGGCGAGGCAATGTTTTGCTCAATGACAAATGCAACCAGTTTTTCTCCCACTTAAGAGCCACTCAGCACCACCTTTTTCAAATTTTCAAACCCCTTTTTGAGCGTTGTCAGACAAAGAGACCACAGCTTTTCTTGTGCCTGTAAAGAGCTTTGAGAACTGCTGCTTGGTGCACATGACGCAACAGAGGGAGCCTGATTGTACTTTGATTTTCCAAAAAAAAAGCATGAACAGTAAGGGACTTTCTTGTGATCTTGATGCTTTAAAAGTTGTACAGTCTGAGAGCTCACTGCTGATTTGACTAGTGACTAGTTTTAGCAAGTTTATTCTGCAAGAGTTACACATTCCTGATTTAACTTTGGGATCAGTGAAGTCAATCATGAAATTTGTAACTTGTCTGTCACATTTTTTCATGCGCAGAAAGCAGGCAGTTCTTCAAAAACTAAAAAAGTTCTTCAAAAACATTTGCTCTGATTAACAAAAGCTTGTAACCTTCAACAAATACTTTAACATAATCTAGTTGTTCGATTTAAATTTAATTCAGTCTACTAATAAGAATTCAACAAAACTTATTTCTAGTAAAACAGTGATTAAATGTTTTTATTAATTTTTCAATTAGTCAATTAGTATTGCAGTAAAATTTAATGTATTGAGTTGAATTTTTTCAAAATTCATTGATTTTGCAAAAGTTACGCCAAAACGTCATTTAAAGTAATTTTAAGTAATAGTGAGTTTTAAATAAGTTATCATTTTGCCAAACTTCATCACCAGGAACACTAAGGTAAACAAGTCTAACATTTTGCTTTGCTTATTGTGAAAATCTTGCTTTCTCAAAGTAGGGAACTATTTGATTTGAGGAACTTTTAAATTATTTCAGGTATATACTATGTATATACCAAAAATACCTATTTTAAAAAGTCTCAATACAGTAAAATTTTATTTTAATCAGAACAGAAAAATATGGTTTTTCTTATTTTTGTATCCTTATGACTTTATCAAGCAAAAAAATACAACTACATGTACACAAATTATCAAAGTAACCTCACTGAAAGCCCTTTGAATACTCTACGTCGACATACAATTTTAAAACTTGCAATGGTATCTGTATCATTTTGATGGAAACTGACAGCGCTAAAAATTGCGTATAAAACTTTGTTTTCTAGTCGACACATTTAAGCCTCGAATAGGAACAAAAATTTTTGAACAAAAACCCCAAAAATTGTTTT